GCTGTGATATTTGCTTCTTTTGTTTTATCTTGGTTGCCAGGAGTAAAATAAACTATAAAATACATGCAATATTTGTTATTTGTGACCATTCTGAAATGAAGAAATTATAGAGCAAGCAAGGAAACATACTTTTTAGGTCACTTGAGTTACTTAGGTGACATAGTTTTGTAAATGTTAATGGGAAAACACACATGTTTGTTATGTATGCAGTACAAGTCTCTCGGTAAAGGAGATGGATTGATTGTCCATTTTGTTTATGGGTGAACAAGTTGAATCCGTGCTATGCATGATTCATGCAGTCACATACAAGGCATCTGTTAGTGTGTTTATTTCAACCAATTTTTGTATATGGCATCTATGGGTAAAGGGGAACAAAAATTGTGAAACTCATGACCCCTTCCCCCTGGAGCCTATGGGATGAGGCTAAAACCACCAATATTAATGCATTCTTTGTAAATCTTCTTTACTCCTGGACATCAAGCAGTCAAACTTTTAATTGGCATGATTGTAATTAGCAGTGCGTCCTCTACCAAACCAATAAAATTCCGGGCCCCCTGGGTCGGGGTTTTTTAGTTTTAGGGTTGGGCTATATACTAGTACATGTAGATTAAAAGGGGAAAGTTCATTATTGAAACCTTCTTTTTACTCCTGGGTATTAAACAAATGAAGAGGAATTGTTTCTTTTCCCCAAAATTTTGAATTTCATGCATATGACCCTTGGGTCAGAGGTTCTGGTGTTAGGTTTGGGCTCTTGATTATTGTGAAAATGCACTAATTCTCTGAAACTCTTCTTCTCTACTCCTGGGTATTAAACTTACTACACACATACTGTATACAGGGAAATATTCGCCCCCGTTTTATTTTTGCCCCTTTCGCCCTTACATCATTTGGGCAAATTTAAAAAGGGGCGAATTAAAAATATACAATATATTTTCTTAAACAAAACAGTGACTGGGCGAATTTTAAACGGGGCAAAATTGGTTGCAAGTGTGAAAGGGCGAAAATAAAACAGAGCGAAAATAACCCCTGTATACAGTAGTTATAATTGGGGAATGGGGCCCTTCCAAAACAGTAAATTTTATGGTGCCAGGGTAAGGGGATCTGGTGTACCTGTGGGGGCTATAAAAATTTTAATAGTGAAAATGCATTTTCCCCCCAGCTTCTGGGTATTAAGCCAGTGAACTACTTGGTGTTTATATTGTTATGATGAGGAAAATTTTCAAAATTATGAATTGTATGGTCACTGGGTCAGGGGCTCTGGTGTTAATTAAGATGAGGTTTTATAGATTAAACATTTATAGTGAAAGTGCATTTTTCTGAAAATCTTCCTTGCATCTGGGTTAAAAACCAGTGAACTGTGTACAAAGTTAGTGTAAGGAATAGTGTCTCTTTCAAAATTGTGAATTTTATGGCCCCAAGGTCAGGGGTTCCATTGCTAGTATGAGGTTATTTTGATCATATTTTATTTTTTAAAAAAAAAAAATCTTCTCTGCTTTTGGGGTATTTTTCTGATGAATTTAAGTATATAGTTATGATAGCAATTTTGCTTTTTTGGGTTTTTGAATTTCAAGGCCCTTGTGTCAGGGGATGGGATGGCCGGGGTAGATTACATACTGAAAATAAATTAATGTTTTAAAATTTGCTCCTTGGTATTAATAAAACATTGATAATGAGCAAATCAGCAAGGTTGCCTTAATTTTCAAAATTGGTGAATTGTGTGTAATCCTGTGGGGTGGAGCACTTTATAGTAACTGGTTATATAGTGGAAATGCATTTTTTAGCTCATTTGAGCTGAAGGTTCAAGTGAGCTTTTCTGATCAGAATTTGTCTGTTGCCTGTCGTTGTTAGTGGCATTGTTAACTTTTAATCATCTTAAATTCTTAAGAACCACTGGGCCAATTCCAACCAAACTAATGCCACAAAGTGTTCTTGGGTGATGGGGATTCAAATTTTCAAATGAAGGGCCAAGCCCTCTTCCAAGGGGAGATAATTATGAATTAATGAAAAATTAATGTTATCTTTTAAAAATCCTCTTCTCCAGAACCATTGGGCCAGGAAAGATGCAACTCATGTGGAAGCATCCTCAGGTAGTGTACATGTAGATTCAAGTTTGTGGGGCCACAATGGCTAATAAAAGTTTTACCTAGGAATGCATAGGAAAAATCTTTAAAAAGACTTCTCCAAAACCTTTGGACCAGGTAAGATGAAACTCATGGGGAAGCATCCTCAGGTAAATTAGATTCAAGTTTATTCAAATCATGCCCCCTTTGGGGGTAGGGCGGGACCACAATGGCTGATCAAAGCTTAATTTGCATAAGAATACGTAGGCAAAATCTTTTAAAAATCTTCTCAAGATCAGCAAAGCCATATATATATATATATATATATATATAAAAACATACATACATACATATATATATATATATATATATATATATAAATTGATGATATTGGTATGGAATCATCGTCATGTGATGTAGATTCAAGTTTGTTCAAAACATAACCCCTATTGTTATTTGAACATACGTTGTCGATCGAGTCGCCCGCATTTCGCAGTGGTTAAAGTGTCTGCTCTAGAGTCGCAAAGTAAGGATTTGATCCGTGCGGGTTCGAATCCTACTTTGGGACTTGGAGATCGTATAAATCGAGCTCCTGTGTCGCAGTAGATTCTGGCAAAAAAGTTCCCTCACTGCTCAATGGCTCTAAAAGCATGCCGAGTATAAGACAAAAATTGCGGCTCTCCATCGGCAAGTGGTGGCGCCCTCTTTAGAAAGGGAACTATTTATAATCTTACAATGTTGATCAACACACAAGACTCATCCTATGCCTAAAACTGTCTGCATTATTCCAAAATTCGACACCTAATTGATATAAACAATTCCTAATGAGGCAATACCGTCTGATAGTACTATTTCTTTTCATCCCAAAATAAAAATAATATATAACGAGAACTATACGTATAAATTTTTATTTAATTTTATTTCAAAAAATTGTTCAAGTACACATATTTTCAATATGTGGTAATTCTTTAAAAAAGTAAATGTGCAGATTAAAAGAATAAAAATAAAAAGATAATCTTTAAATGAAAATTTAAAAAAAAATGAAGTAATCAAGAAAATGCCATAAATATAAATAAATGTTATTAGAAAATAGAAATGCATATAAAAAAAAGCAAGGAAAGAGTGACAGTAAAGGTAGAAAAAAGATCTAAAATTCATAATAAAAATTAGATCTAAATATTTGATGACATGCAATTCAATTCATAATTTATAATCAAAAATATTTACACTGATTCAGGGTCAACTACTAGTATGTACACATAATTATATATATTCAACAAAATACTGAAACAATTACCTATGCAAGAATATGTCTAATAATATGTTGCAAACAAATTAACAACCCCACCCACCAAAATTAGACAAGTCAGAAGTCAAACAGAAGACAAATTCTTGCATAAGTAAAACTTCCAACACACTGAGGCTTACACACTCAGGGCGCAAAACCTCCTGGTCAGAGTCTGAATTTCAATCGATCTCCATTGGAGTCAGCTACAAAACACACAAGGTACTTCATGATATACAAGAATATTTTATATACATGTATATGTCAACTGTAATTAAAGGCGTTGTTGTACAGGATATGCTCAATGTATGAATGCATACCGAATCAGACTTCAGCCTTTTTGAAGGAATGAAACGGCGGCGTCGCCTCTTCCGTTTCCCAGACTGGCCCTAAAATAAAAAAAAATATGAAGACTGAATAAACATACACTAAAAATGGATTTTGCTCTCATTATAAAGATGGATGTAATAAATGCAAAGTAGTATCAAAGGTTGGGTTCATTTAATTAAGCAATGATGACCATGATGATTATACCTACCCTTTCACTGACAGCTCTCTGTTCATCACAGGAGGACATGGCAGGAGGCTTGATTGTCTTAGAAGGAACAATAGTAACAGCTCTCTCTGTATGAGAAGAGGAATTACTAGTAACAGGATTCTTGACTTTTACATCCTTGTCTGTTCTGGTAGTGGCAGCTCTCTCTGTACGAGAATGGGAGTTAGCAGGATCCTTGACTTTCTTATCCTTGTCTGTTCTGGTAGTGGCAGCTTTCTCCATATGAGAATGGGAATTAGCAGGATCCTTGACTTTCTTATCCTTGTCTGTTCTGGTAGTGACAGCTTTCTCCATATGAGAATGGGAATTAGCAGGATCCTTGACTTTTACATCCTTGTCTGTTCTGGTAGTGACAGCTTTATCCATAAGAGAATGGGAATTAGCAGGATCCTTGACTGTCAAAATCTTGACTGTTCTAGTAGTGACAACACTCTCTGTTTGACAAGAGGAATTGGCAAGAGTTTTCACTTTTACAGCCTTGACTGTTCCAGTAGTGACAACATCCTCTGTCTGACAAGAGGAATTGGCAGGATCCTTGACTGTGACAGAGGGAACAGTAGTGACAGTATGCCGTCCAGCAGAAGTGTATCAGGCAGCAGTGTTGGCTGTCACAGAGGATGCAACCTGAAAAGTCAGAAACACCATGTATAATTTCATTTGTGGAACTGAGGAAAAAAGGTCTGGATCATCAAAAAGTTCTTTTTTAAAATATAAATTGAAATTTTCACTTTCGTCCCTTTAAACTAGAATTGATGGGATAAGCACATGTTAAAATGAGATTTGCCTACTTTACTTACATGTACACGAGCCTCCCTACGGGTCAATATATCTGGCATTAAGTCTGTCAGCTTCTCCACTTCTCTTTGTTCACCACCAATTATCTGAATTAACATGTACAAGGTAACTAAATTTTTCTCATAATAAAGATCAATGAAAGAAATTGTCAAATGAAATGCAAGACAGTGTTGCAATCTTAGCTTTTTTTGTTTAGCAATGATGACCAAAAACTTGCCATTACCTTATCAGTGACCAGATTCTGTTCTTTGCAAGAAGGGTGTGGAGGAGTTTTGGCAGTTGGGGAGGGTTTAGTTATGACAGATTGTTGTCCATCAGAGGCGGGAGGGCTGGTGCGAGTTTCATTCCTCCAAGAGGATGCTACTTTAACCTGAAAAGACGATTTTTGAATACAAAGTGGTTTAAAATCTTGATAATTTTTCTTTCACTTAAGCTTGATAAATAAAGATCACAAATCTAGTTAAGTACATGTATCTATAAAGAATAGCTTACATTAGCAGTAACTGTTGCATCCTTCTCTTGAATTGGTGTGGCCTAGTTAAGGAAAAAAAGGAGAAATTATGGGTTTGAAAAGGTAGAATGGCATTTAAGAAACAGTTTTATTTTGTGTTGCTATTCCAAGTAATCTCCGTAACATTAGTTCAGGACATCATCATATTCTTTTTTTAAATTATAGATTGAATTTGCTATATAAGAAAGCTAAAGTTCTTGAAAGAAAATTTTTATTTTATTTCTTACAATTAAGATTCATGGCATAAAATTGTTGATGGTAGAGAAGCCTGTCCTACTTACCCTAGCCTCCCCTAGCGTTAACATATCTGCCATCAGGTCTGCCAGCCTCTCCACCTCTCCACGTTGGCCGTCAGTGATCTGAATAGACATACATGTCATGTACAATAGAACTAAACAAATTTTTTATAATAATTTTTTTTAATGCATCGTATGTGCAAGGATGTGTTGCATTTATTTTGATATTATTTATAAGAGTAATGATATTCTTTAAGATGATTCTTACCGCGTCAGTGACAGATGTCTGTTTGGGACAAGGTTTGGGAGGAGACTTGGTGGTTGTGGAGGCTGGTGCAGTTGTGGCAGTAAAATGTCCCTCAGAGGGATAAATCTTGCCGGTCACAAAGGATGCAACTTTAACCTGATAAGACAGTTACACCGTATAAGCATGTCTAATTTTACTTCATTTTGCTATTTTTTTATGCCAATACAAATAAATAATTTCTATATTTAGTAAAAGATGATTTATTACTTGTTGGAGTAATTATTTATTAAATAGATTGACTTACATTAGTAGCCACTTGTGCTTCTGGCATCGGTGTGGACTAAAATAAAAGAAAAAGGCAGACATTTTGTCAGAGTCTCTGTGTTGTAAAGATTGGATATAGTGATTTAAAAAAAAAAGCATTTGGTTTTGTGGAAATGTTAATGGAGAATTCTGTTCGGACAAGGAAAGTTTTGAAAACGTTTTATACCTCAACCCCTGTCTCTCTAAAGGGAGTTGCAGAGCGCAGGATTTTAATTTGTTGAGCTTTTTTAGAATCCCCAAAAGCAAACACAGTTGCCAGTAGGTCCGCCAAATTGTCAACTTCATGTTCAACAGTCGGTGAGCATGTTACTCTAACCTAATAAACAAGTAACACCTTGTGAATATGTCTTCTCTTTATGACAATAATTTCATATATGTTCTGATTTTAGGAAAAGATGATCTCTATTCAGATCTGGTTTAGTAATTACTAGTACTTACATCACAAGCAGTCTTTGTGTCTAGCTTTGGAGTGGACTAGGATCAAAGAAAAGGGGAAATATGATACATTTTTACTAACGTGTAAAGAAGGAATGGCAAATAGAAACATATAGTTTCAATTTGTAGTAATTTTTCAAGAGATCAATTTTAAATTAATTTAAACTTTCATAATGTTGGATTTTTGATTTGACATGATATTAAAAATTGTTGTTTAGCATGGTTTTTACTCATTTCTCTCCATTGCAATTGAAATTGATGGCATTAAAAGATGATGTTAAAAGTATAAAGGAAGTCTCAGGCGGGCTTCGATCCAATAAATCATATTTAGCTTGTTTAATACTTATTAAGCCAATGCTCTAGAAAGTTCTATACCTTAACCCCTGTCTCTTTCTGGAGAACTGCAGAGCTGAGGTTCTTAATTTGAACTGGGTTGCTGGCATCCCCGAGAGCCAACACAACTGACAATAGCTTCGCCAACTCCTCGACCTCTCCATGTCTTACAGTTGGAGAGGATACATCACCCACCTAATAAACAAGCGACACTTTGTGAACAAGTCTGCTTAAAAAAAATCACGTTTTCTTTACGGCCATAATTTTTTTTTTTAATTCTTACATGATTAAAAGAAATACTTACATCTCCCTCAGCATTTGTATCTTGCACTGGTGTGGACTATGATCAGAAAAGAGGAAAAATATGACAAACTCTTACTAATGTGAAAAGATGGAATGGCAACTTAGAAACGCATGTAGTTAAAAAAAATCTGTGGTATTTATGTGAAAGATTTACTAGTATATTAAGTAATATGGGGTTAAAAAGTTTTTTTTTTTAATTATGGGTTACTAGTAATTGTTGATAAAATATTACAAATAGGATTTTTTAAAATCATCAATTCCACTCCCTTCTCTTGCAATTAAAATTTATGCAATAAAGGGGGTGATAGGAGTAAAGAAAAACCAAGGCTTTGACCCATGAAATCATATTTTACTTTCTTATTTAACAAATGACTTAAAATTCTATACCTTAACCCCTGTCTCTTTCTGGAGAACCTCAGAGCTGAGGTTCTTAATTTGTACAGGGTATCTGGCATCCCCGAGGGTCATCAAAACTGACAAGAGCCCCGCCAACTCCTCAACCTCTCTGGCCGTGATCTGAATAAAAATGTATCCTCAAACTTAATTTTGTTTCTTGTAAAAAAAAAAAACCAAACAAACAAGAAATGTCTATGGTAAACATTCAGAATTGTTGCAGTATTTTGTTAATACCACTTACCCTATCACCGACGTCTTTCTGTTCGTGGGAGGGAGGGTTCGGGGGAGTCTTGGATGTTCGGGAGGATTCCGTATTGACCCTTTGGTGTTCATTAGGAGAGGGATTGAGACCAGTCTCAGCGGTTAGAGAGGAGGTGACTTCAACCTGATAATAAAGTAACACCGTTATCTCAAGCATCATATGAATTCGCTTCAATAAAGCAACATTTTCACCTTTAAAATAAAAAAAGGAAAACAAAAAATAATGATTCAATTTTTTTTGTGTGTGACTAAAAGTGTGGTGTTATGTTTTAAAATGGCAAGATTAACCTCAGCAATTAAAATTAATAAACATTTGCAAATATTTTAAAGTATTTCAACACGTCTGTTCTGTACAGATAAACAGCATAAAAGATTGAGCTATCGATTTCTAAATCAAATATGAAAATGTCCAAACTTTTTTTTTTGGATCAATTATGCAAAACAGAAAGTTTGTTGTATGGTTTCATTCCGTTGCAAAAATGTGGATCGAAAATTAAATTGCAAGAACTTTTTTGTTACAATTTATTTATAATTTTTACATACACCTTGCTTGAAAACCGGTGATGAAAAAAAGAAAAAAAAATATCTTAACTGTTATAGAAAATATGCCAATAAATATCGCAATACAGTTTAAAAAAAAAATATCGCAATATATCGCAATAAAAAAATCCTAGTCGATTCCCAGACCTAAAATATTGTAATATTATTGCTTTAAAAACATTATATTGACCATAGAAATTTAAATCTGTAAACGATACTGTAGATATCTTTGTTTCATCGACTTGTTTGTCAATAGTTTGCCTCGTTTTAAAAATTGTTCGTACGAAGAGCATGTTCTTATACGTATCTACCCTACCAACCCATTAATAAAGCCTTATCCAGGGCGTTAACCTATTTGATATAAACCGAATTGTAGATTGAACTTCAGGCTAATACAATGCTCTTGCTTGGGAAAAAAGCTGGATATCTAATTATTGTAAGGTCTGACCTCGCTGAAGTAATGTATAATTAAAAAAAAAATAAATGTGTTAAAAATATATGTGGATATTAATCTCTTAGTCCCTTTGTAGGAAGTTCAAATTGTCAAAATTTAAAAACAACACGTGTAACCGCAAGTTTTATTATTAAGCATGCAGCAGCTTAGAAAAATGTGACGTTACCACTAGAAACGTACAGAATGTAAAGCTAGGAAAACATTTCTAGTTTCTTTCTGTATTAAATTTTTTTTTTTCGAATACTGAAAAAAGGAAGAAAAATAATAAAATGTTAAACACCAAACATTTGTTATAAAAATAAAACACAGACACAAAAAGTTCTACAATGTTGACGCTGGAGACCATATCTTTGCAGCAATACATCAAAACAGTTTCACGAGAAAACTATGACCGAATATTAAAATATTTATTATGTTTGATTTTGACAAAAAATAAATAATATAAAGAACTAGAATTCTTGACATCATGGCTCTTATATCTTTACTTTTTATTTTGTAATACATTTCAAGAAAAAGTGTACCTCCCCCCCCCCCCCACCTCTCCGACTTTAAGCAAACAAACACCCCCCCCCCACACACACACACACATACACACATTTATATACTTGTAGTAAAATTTCAAGCGTGTTGTTTCATGGTTATCAAGAAAGCGAAAAGTTGAAGAATCTGAAAGAGGATACTAACAAAACTTCGTTTGTCTATAATCTTAACACCCCCCCCCCCATTTTCCTCTTGAAAAAGTGAAAACGACAATAAATCAACGATTTGTTTGCCATAAACACACAAAATGAGGCATTACCCTCTTAGTCTTTCTTTCCGACATCTTCGGTGCCATTTATTTGGATAAAGCAGTAGAAATTGCAGAAAAATTTCTCGATAGAAAATAGCGTACGCACTCTTCGACTAAAGTCGTTAGATTGAGACGTAACCACAACACAACTTAGGCCTACCGAGAAACGTGACGTCACATTCAATGACGAAAGCCAA